GAGTGTAGAGTTGTTCATGGTTATAGACTGCCCATGGTTATAGACTGCCCATGTTTATGTTTTTAGTGCCTTTCCTTCTTTCCTGACAGGGTAAAGCCAGCAGCATTTGACCTTCTTGAGGCTGTCTGGCTGGATACTTAGGAATAGTTTACTTCGCTGTTCAGGTATTTCTTATGCATCATTTAATAGTGTTGTTTTCCCCTTACTATGAATGTAAATATCATAAGCTTCCCTGTTATATTACCAAACATTTGTGGCCTTTTTTCCTTCTTTCTTTCACAGAACTTTGGCAGTCTCTACTCCCAACTTGTAAGAGTGACCATAGGGTGCAAGCAGCAGCAGAATGTCGTCCTTGATGCTCTCAAACTTGGGATAAGCAGGAGGATTCTGGGAAAGGCAGAAAATGAGCCTGAAATAAGATTTCTGAAGTAAAAAAAAAAAAAATGAAACATTTTAAGCATGTCATGTCATTCTTACCTTTAATAATAATAAAAAATGACAGTTTATTGCAATGGATCAGAATTGTCAATCATAATTGTTCATCACTAACAGTGCTTTCATTATGCATTTATTTCAACAGTTTGTATGGTATTTTATATGAACACATAAATTGGATGAATGTGAATCGATCATACTTTGACAGACATGAATGATTAATAATGAATCATTTAGATTCTCAGAAATAATAATGAATAAATCTAAAAATATACTTTAATGAGCAGACTGGATTTAATGTGTAGAATTTTTCCTCCATTTCAAATGACATGGAAATGTGTCCTGTAGTTAATCTCTTTATTTTAAACGGTATATAATCTTACCTCTCCCTGAATTCTTCTTAGTGTTTTTCTAATTTGATGACACTAAATCTTGCTCTGTTTTCTCAACCACTATTCCAATCATAGGTTCTCTTATACTAACATTCAATACAACAGACACTGAGCAGTGAAGACCAGCACTGACATAATTCTTCTTAAAGAGGTTCAAACCTTATCCCAGAACAAAAGTTTGGAGTGAGATTACATCTGTCAGGGGTGGAGCGCGTGTCTCCCGGGCAGCCCCGCCTACCGCATTCATCGGATCTTGCTCTTCCACTTCCACCTTGTCTGCACTGTGTGTGTGTGTGCATTCATGTAATAACCTGTTTGCAGCAGGACCACATGTAACTTATTTTGGAATTTACCCTGAAACAACAAATGCTGTTTTCTGATTGACTGGGAGGTGGTTATTAATTCTGAATAACCCGGGACAGCTATGAACTCCCCTCCATATGCCTGGGCATCGTCCATTAATTCTATATAAAGGGACACCTTGGTAGACATTATTCCTTACTTCTCAGCGTGAGAAATCCAAGGTGCGGCATGTGCACGGCTTGAAATGCGTGTGTCTCATGGTCAGTGCGTGAGACTTGAGAGCGTTGCCCCAGAAAGTGGCTCAAACTTTACACCAGAGAGTGTTTCAAACCTTATCCCAGAAAGCTGAAAGATGAGCCGCTTCTCAGTACAACCAAAGCAGTTGTCTCCTCCATGGCTCCTGCAGGCTGAGTATCTATAACCAGGGACTGATTGGATTTGAGTTGGCTACCTTTTGCATGTCACTCAGAGGACAATCGGCCAGCCAAACCCAGCTGAGATCGATGACATAATCTGTCAGCCTTATCTCTCTGCTTGAAGTTGAATTATTCATTGTCAGAAATGTGCTGGCCCTCTCAATGAAACAAGCAGTAGGAATATGAGCGAACTAATTTGATGCTGCCAATCAGATGTGAAATAGTAGAATTTGTGGACGGATGATCATTGAGGTTACAGGCACCTGAGGTTTAGTGCTGCTAACCAAGACTCGTGTGATGCCTGACATTCCAAAGTGTCTACTACCTGCATTCAGTCTATATCTCAGTTTACCAAAAGCCACACTTGGCTTTCGTGGCAGCTAACATCATAAGGCCGTATATTCCTTTGTAAAATCTCTCATGTGAAATGCAAAGAAGTTTTAAGAAGATTTTGAAGGCATTCGTTTTTACTTAAGAACAAGAAGAATTAAGAGAAGGAGAATTTCAACACAAGACTGATAAAGAAGTACAGCTTCGGGAGGCAGTGGGGGGGCGGAAGAGGAGGCGCGAAGTGCACAGACAGTCAGACTGGAATCGTGCAAGACTTAGCGATGAGCGTCGGAGTCAACATCAGCACCTACTCAGAGGAGTTCCGATCACCAGGCCCAACAAAACCAACCCAGGCAAGACCCTCCTCTCCCAATCGCAGAAACAAGCCCCATCCCCGACCGGTGAGCAGCACACAGGTTCCTCCATGCTCTCATGATTTTATTCCTCCTTTAAATGATCAACTTTATTCTTCAGTTTGATTTGTCATTATTGTTGCTGTTGTTGTCCTTTCTCAGATGCATACCCCAGCTAATGTTTTTATAATTCATATTTATTTTATTAATCACTTTTCACAAAGATAAAAGCTGAAATGTCATTCTCTAAAAGGGAGAATTACATATTAGAATGATTTTTATTTCCACTTGTTACACAACTGTAAAATACTGCTATATATCGGCCAATTCACACTAATGAGTCAAAACATTATGACCACCCCCACCTGAAGCAGCTAACGTTGACTGTCTTGTAAAAATGGTGCGTGTCATGGTCTGGGATATATTAAATGGTAACTTAACATTCAGCACTCGTAGTCGGCATGATGAATGCAGCAGAAATGGGCAGTGATAAAGATCTGAGTAACTCTGACAAGGGCCAGATCAGTATGGCTGGGTGACTGCTCACAGCGTCTCCCAAATGGCGAGGCTAGGGGGATGCACCTCGTCAGCCATAGTGAGCACATACCACCAACAGGGTGTTGGCTGTCAGCATTATTCATATCACATAGGGGAGGTCATGATGTTTGGAGTCAAAGGTATTTAACAGGGTCTGAGAATTTTGTTTTGTGTCTCCAATTCCTATTTGTCAGGATTTTCTCCTGCCTCGAATGTCGACCAGGTGTCTTGCTACCAATGTTGTTCCAGTCCCAGTACCAGTATCTCTGGGTTACTGTACTCATTTCTTTCCCCCAGTGCAACACAAATCCATTCAACGTCAAGGTAAGATAGTGCTCCAAATCGGGATTTATATAACCACAGTAACAATCACCATTTTAAAAACTACAGTTCTTTTACAAGATGTAATTTTACTGCTCTTAGCAGGAGGATCAAATGTCCTAATTCTGATTTTGTTAACAGTGGGAGAGAACACATCCATTGTAAACTTCCGTGTTGGAAAAGTGGAGCCCAGTCACAAACAAGTTGTGAACTCAGCCAGAGAGTGCTTTCTGCCCCCTCCTGGTAGACTGTTCAAACATCAGTTTCATGTTCAGTCTCCCTCTTTCAACAAGGAACAAATATGCACCAATTTGCAAAAGAAGCCAAGGTACTCTACATTTGGAGTTTGTCTTGATTTGCGTTGTAATTATTATTGCTCTCGACAGCTGCTCTTTTTCACCATATTCTAACCTTTGATGATCTATGTACCAAAGCAGTATAATTCTAGCCATGTTCTAGTCTTCTAACCAAGTTTATATATGTGTGTGTGTGTGTGGGGCGGGGTGTCAGTATATATTACATTGTGGGGATGTCTGGTCCCCACAATGTGATAAAACCTTGTTATTGTCACCTTTTTGGGGTAACTCAATTGTAGAAAAATGTGTGACTGCAATCAAAAAACTAAAAATGCCAACATTCTTGTATTTTGTTTGGTTACTAATGGTTAAGGTGAGGACTGGGTAGTTATAGTTGGAATTAGGGTTTTTCCCATAGAAATGAATGGATTGTCCCCACAAAAAGATGAATATAAACGTGTGTGTGTGTGTGTGTCACAGAGGCATCTCTGGAAATGATTTTCGAAGAGGAACAGTCTACAAGTTTATGAATGATGGCAACATTTCCCGTGGGGAACTCAAATCACAAGGGTATTTCAAGAAATCCTGTCTCATAGCAGTGCTGGATTCCAAGTAGCTGATTAGAAAATACAAGTCTTACCATTCTAGCTTTCAAATACAGATCTCAAATTGTTACCATATGCTTCAGTGTGACATACATAGAAATATATATTTGCATATCAAGAGCTGACATTGCAAGGTGTAAATCACAAATGATATATCATCCAGTTCAAATCACAAATTATATATATATATATATAGAAAAAGCATGTGGCCTTATACAATAATTTTTCAATACAACCTGACCTACAATTCTTTTGTTACTTACAGTGGTGGTTACAGCTGCTTCCAGGTCGTCAAGCCATACCAAGCTGGACATTACATCATTCACCCAGAGTTTGTTTCTGAGAACTTGAATTGAATTATTTTAACATCAAGTTAATATATACACGTCATTTGCACTTTATTTGTGTATTACAGTACAGTTGAGTAGAGACTCAAACTCCGCATTGGATACATAGTATATAGTTTATGAATGTTATAGAAATATGAGTGGCTTTTGAACATTATGTTTCGATAATTCAATAAAAGTGTGGTTACACCAATCCGCATTTCGAAGTCATTTCAGTTTGCTTATAAACTACAAATCCCAGAAGGCTCCGGAAACTCCACCCTTTGTCCTCTTTGACTGACAGCGTGATTTACAAATAGTTACTCACCATTCGATCACGTGACTTTGCGTCACCCTGCACCGAAGGGACCGTTTGGTATATCTTCACCTTGCTGGGCTGTTGTTTTTGCTGGTAAGTATTGTGCTATCGTTTGGTCCGTTACATGATTTATATAAATGCTATATATATTTATTTTCTACAGTAATTTTGCATATTCGCAACTATTAACGTGCCTATTTTAACTAGCTGTGACAATGACAGTGATTTTGAATTTGGTTATTTTTAAGTTGGTGTGCAGTTCTTACCACAGCTGTACGCATTCCACTTCCGTCCGTACTGCTGACACCGTGAACATAATGTGAAATTGCTTGCCGACTTGCTGCTTTTGACCGCATTTCACGTAAGAGTTCATGTAAGCCTTCAAAGGCACAGTGGGCAAGGCGACTGATTCCGTTAAATGGTATATTATCAACTGAAGTGAAATGTATTCAAGACGTCCCTTTTGGCTTTTCCCCGCTATCGAGCTTAAGTAACTTAGTTTGCGAGTTTTATATGTTTTTGGATTGTTCCATTAAAAGCACCGATATGTAAAATTTTCTTTTGATCGATTTGCCCTCTGTGTGGTTGCTCGCTTTTCAAGTTCTCTTTCTGCTGAGGTAGCAGTTCACTAAACGAGATTCCACATAATATCACAATTAAGCAAGACTCATATCATTATTAAGTGATCATTTAAAATTTATTATGTATTATATATCTCAAGCTTTATATTTTGAAATAATCATTAAAATAATACTTTATAATACAGTATTTCTGGGAAGGGGGATTTAAACAAGACCGTGATCAGCCAAAATCTGTACCATGCCTGGGTGGACAGAGAGCATTGGCAGCTCACGACAAACAGGTTTATTGACTTTGTACCAGGCAGGCGGTGATGTCTTGGTATAATGGGGGTTCACATCAGCAGAGAAGACTTGGCCCCATGTGTTTACGTCATGCCTTTAGCCTAATTCCATTCCCGACAGCAGCAGCCTGAGTTCTCTGGCTTAAATGCGAGCTCATGCCAGGCTCTCCGTGGTCTACTTTGGCTTATTCACAGTTTAGTCCACATCTTGACTGCATGCCCTGCTCTGGAAAAACACAAGGTCACTCACCATTGCAGTAGCCATTAATAGGACCCACTGGCAGGATGTTTTGTATGTGTGCCTGCTCACTTTTTGGCAGTGTTAGACAAGTGTCGGGGGAACAAATTAGTTGCCTGAGCATGGTATGGTGCCTAACCTGGAAATTTCACCTATGTGCATACTAAACAGTGCCTGAGATTACTTTGTGATCTGTTGAATTACAGAGAAACTCCAATTCATTTACATAAAAATGGACTTTGTCCTTGTCAGAAATTATCCAGACAAATGTTTTCCTGGCTGTTAGGATCTTAGGACTTCAATGCTGCTATTTCTGGTCATATAATGGTTGAGTTCAGAAGCTCATTTTGAACGCATTTTAAATGTTCCTTTTACTCATGCAGGCTGTGCCTTTTAAGGCTAGGAACTGGGAAAGAAATGGAGGAAAAGAAGATAACAGCTTTTGGCTGCCCCTTCAGACCGCCCTTGGGGGGGGACCCATGAAGAACGCTAGTCCATTCAGCTGTCTTGATGATGCACTCTCTCTCAAAAGCAAATGATTTGCTGTGACAGGAAACCTCAGCATTTATTTTAACCAGCATATGTGCAGCTTTCAAAGACACTACCTTCACCATGTATCAGATGGTACCAGGCGGTCCTATGAGCACAGTGGGCAGCACCGCACCCATTAAGCAGAATCTGGCTCGGGACAGGCGCCCCCTTCTTGGAGCGGGTCTTCTGGGACTAATTCTCATTATTGCAGCTGTTACTGCTTGGTGCTACTACATTGCCTCCCTGGCTAAGGCTGACCTGCTCAAGACGGAGCTCCTGGACCTGAACAGGGATGGATTCCTCATTCGAAACCAGGCAGGAGCCATTGTCTTCCGCATGGCCTTCAGGTCTGGGTTCTTCCATTGATACGTAGACCTACGAGCCAAAGCTGTCAAACTGTGATACTGCAGTTTTTCTTCAAAATGATTTAATCAGTTAAATGTAATTTTCACATTCCCCCTTAAAAACTGAAATTCAGGTGTGTAGGAATGCATCTTTAAATCCATGTCAGCTGAATGTCCTACATGTAATAATTCAGCAAGGTAGATAAGTTGGAATATAGGTGGCTTGGTCCCTGAGTGGGTATTACTACCTCACACATCCAGGGTTGGGCTTGTGATTCATTGATGTGTGTTTGGAGTAGGCATGTTCTCCCAGTTTTCTTCAGCATGTTTCCAAAGTTCCTCTGGGTAGACTGGTGTCCTTGTGCAGTATGAACTATTCTCCTTTATGGAGCAGGCTTCCTGTTCCCCACTTCCCTGACCAGGAAAAGCAGGTAGAAGATGGATGGATACGAACCTCCATAACAGGGCTGGGCGAGATCATATTGATATAATTTCGTGCATGCACAGTAATCACCAGGGCTTCAGGTGGCTGAATGCCAGTGTTTTTTTGTGCTGTACGGATGTTTGTTTACACCCACAATTTCTTGTACAGCTAAAATATTCATGAGATGCATTTTGTGACACCCAAAAGTTATTCATCTTTATAAACTTCCCGTATCTTTATATTTATTAAATCCAGTTACAGGAGCATACCACATAATACTGTTTTGGTATACTATAGTTTGGTATACTTCAGTGCGATATGCACTGTAGTGGAGCACACCACAATACTGGTTTGGAATACTTCAGTGTGATATGCACTGTGGCGGAGCACACCACATAATACTGGTTTGTAATACTATAGTTTGGAATACTTGGAATGACATTTTTTTTTAAAGAGAAGATCTTGTGGGTAAACAAGGTAAAAAGATATTGGAGGTGTGGCCGTACTTTTTGCAGTTTAAAGTTGACATGTTTATTAAACATGAGTATGCCGAATTTATACTGCTTACTAACTATTGGGGCGTCAAAATGTTTCGCCTGTCATCTGAAGCCCTGGTGCGATTTAACATTGATGTAACATTGCCCAGGCCTATTGCATACATGATATGGTGGAACCTTTAGAAAATAGCTCTTAAGTCTCTTTCTGATTACCATCTCATTGTCAAATTCTAAGCATGCCAGACATTGCCTTTAAAGTTTACCGCATACTTCAGATTACCGATCCCATGTGGGAAAATTCTAATTTGTGAACAAAATGATACTAAAAGTGATGCGTGAATTCTTCAACAAAAGAGCAAGGTGTTCTGTATTAACCTTAAATTGTTTGGAGTATTGCAAAGCTAAAAATAGGTTCTTCTGTTTCGACAGAATATTGAGGATTGACAATGTATTTATTTATTGTTAATATTTACAGCATTTGGCAGATATAATTTAATAATATAATTTTGGGCATCAAAGTATTTAATATAGGTACTTGATGACCATGCCTGAGAGAATCTAACATGCACATTCCATTCTAGTAAAACAATGAGTATTATCTGGCTCAATTGTACATGATCTTGAACAGAAACATCTGCAAAATATATAAATTTAAATGTAAATTGTTTCAAATGTGGACAAATTGCATATGATCAGTAACATAATATTACTTTTGTCTGTTTTACTGTATGTTGACAGGAATAATTGTTTTAATCTGTTTAACACCAGTTTCCCAATGAATCTGTCATTCAATTATACGTCCACCGTCGTGCCCCTTATTTTGGTCAGGGTCAAGGAGGGACCTGGAGTTAATTCCAGACAGCTCAGGACACTAATCTGTGGTGAACTCAGAATGGGATGCCACCCTACCTACATGCACAAAGATGCTTCAAATACTTTAGATACACTTTAGATACACCAAGTACTCTATATTCATTTCTTTCAACTATGAGGGGAAAATGGAGTAACCAGTGGAAATGTGCCTGAAAAAGGGAGAACAGGCAAACTCCATATGCATTGGAGGCAAGATTAGACTTTTTAAACTTGGAGTTGCTGTATCACAGTACTGACCCCTATTCATTTTTTCAGTAATTAGGTACCTCCTTAACTGCAGTAACATCTATACATATTAATTGTATTTTTTTTTCATTTTACATTATAATTGTCTTAGTATTCAATATAAATACGTTAATAATACAGTTAAATAATGAAGTTAATATTCGTATCCTTTCTTATTTTAAATGGTAATAACAGGTCGGGAAATCTGGACCTGGACTCTTGCTCAAAGGAGGGTGAAATTCTGAGCTGCACTCGGTCCAGCACTGGCAGTCTGAACTTCTTTATTCAGACAGTCCGGCCCAAGGACACGGTGATGTGCTACCGTGTTCGCTGGGAGGAGCTCACCTCTGAGAACCCTGTGGAACATGCCATGTCCTATAATGGTTCTTACTGGTATGGCGGCGCTGAGACCAGCATCCAGCACTGGCCCATCTCCATTACAGGCCAGCAGGCACCAACACCATTTGTCACCAGCGACGTCTACTCCAACCGCCATAGCTTTGGTGGCATTCTGGAGCGTTATTGGTTGTCCTCAAAAGCCTCAGCCATCAAAATCAATGATTCAGTGCCCTTTCATCTGGGGTGGAATGACACGGAGAAGGTCTTGTACTTCCAGGCTCGGTACCAGGACAGCCCATACAAACCCACTCCTGGCCAGCCACCTTTTGCCGAGTTGAGCTACAGGGTATGTGTTGGTTCAGATGTTACTTCCATTCATAAGTACATGGTCCGGAGGTACTTCAACAAGCCCAACAAGGTACCCTCTATGGACATGTTTCGGTACCCCATTTGGTCCACATGGGCCCTGCACAAGAAAGACATTGACCAGGAGAAGCTGGTTAGCTATGCAGCTAACATTAAGAAATATAACTTCAATTGCAGCCAACTACAGCTGGACGACTGCTACACTAGTGGCTATGGTGAATTTGATTTTGATCCCATCAAGTTCCCGAATGCCTCAGCCATGTTCCAGAAGCTAAAAGCTGACGGAGTCCATGTCAGCCTTTGGATACACCCCTTCATCAATTATGACTCACCCAACTTTCGTGTGGGTGTGGAGAAGGGGCTGTTTGTGCGGGAACCCACAGGCCAGCTGCCCGCATTGGTTCGCTGGTGGAATGGTGTGGGCTCCATCTTGGACTTCACCAACCCGGCTGCTCGCGAATGGTTCGGCTCCCACCTCCGTGCCCTGAGGTCCAAATATGGTGTGACCTCCTTCAAGTTTGATGCTGGTGAGACCAGCTATCTGCCGTGGCAGTTCAGTACCTACGTGCCATTGAATGACCCCAGCACCTTTACCCGCCGCTACTCTGAGATGGCTATCCCATTCAACGATAGAGCTGAGCTTCGCGTTGGCTATCAGTCCCAAAATATCTCCTGCTTCTTCCGCCTTATTGATCGGGACTCTGTATGGGGCTATGAACTGGGCCTTAAGTCCCTCATTCCCACTGTGTTGACCATCAGCATACTGGGATATCAGTTCATCCTGCCAGATATGATTGGGGGCAATGTGTACCCCAACTACACCGAAGGCTCGGGGAAGCTGCCGGATCGGGAATTGTACATCCGCTGGCTGGAGCTGTCCGCATTCATGCCCTCCATGCAATTCTCCATCCCACCCTGGGAATACGATGCAGATGTCATCCAGATTGCACGTCGCTTTACCGCCCTGCATGAGTCCATAGTGGCACCTCGTGTCCTGGAATTAGCTGGGGAGGTGCTGGCCACTGGGGACCCCATCATACGTCCTCTGTGGTGGATAGCTACAAATGATGAGACGGCTTACAAAATTGACTCCCAGTTTCTTATAGGGGATGATCTCATGGTAGCTCCGGTGCTGGAGCCTGGAAAGCAGGAGAGGGATATTTACCTTCCTACAGGCCGATGGCGTAGCTATAAAGGTGAGCTCTTTGATAATAAAGATCCTCTTCACCTCACTGACTACCCCGTTGACCTGGATGAGATTGCATATTTCGTGTGGGTGTAATCGACAGTGCGGTTGTTTTGGGGATACTGAGATACATACTTGGTGTTTTTGCAGGGAACTGTGTGGATTTAGATTAGTTAACTGATCCAGCATGTATGAGCTGATGCATTAAAATAAATCTTGTAACCATTTGCATTGTGTCCTTGGCGCACTCCAGCATTGTGCCCCTGTGCTATCTGGGATAAGCTTGAGGCTTCTCTGCAACCCTGACCACGTGGTTATAAGATGGAAGGATAAGATAATAAAATAATCCTAATTGATCCTAAGGAGTAATTCTTGTGTATACAGCAGTAGGTACTCAAGTATGTGCAAACAAAAATATAGTGCAAACAGATTTTAAAATTATACAAACAGAATGTCCTGAAAATTGAATAATAATGTAATAAGACAAAACAAATTAGTGGATGGTATATGCATCTAAAAACAGTGACTTGTCTGGTGTTATGGCTTGAAGTTGGGTAGGCATTGTTCAAGCGTGATAGCAGAAGAATCCTCAGTAATGCTTCTTAGCATGCTGTGGTGAAATGAGCTGGTAGCTAAAGATGCTGTGAGATAGAGCACCCATGGAGAAGGCAAGCAGCATTGTTTATGATGATTTCCAATTTTGCCACTATCCTGTTCTCCATCACTGCTTGTAGCGAGTGTAGGTTCAGTCCAGTGATGGAGCTGGCCTTCCTGATGCGTTTGTTCTGGTCTTTAGGATCTCCTCAACTGATGCTGCTTCCCCACACTGCCATTGCATAGAAAAGTACAGTGGTCAAACTGGCCTGGTTCCTTTGGAAAAGCTGTCCATCCATCTACTAACTACTTATCCTGGTCAGGGCCAGGAGAAGCTATTCATCTTATTAATTTATCTCATATTGTGCCATAGATGTACACAAAGTAACAGGCTTTTGTACATGCTTACACATGTGCCTTGAAATGTAAAAGTGGGATGTCTGACTGAATGTAATATTGCTGCAATGACTTATGTTTCAAAGACAGTCATCAAGTTGTTTTATGCATTTCATGAGACAGAAAAATCCTGAGTCACATATGAAATGGGGTTATATTAAATAAGCTATAAGAATGATTTTTTAAAAGGGTTATTTAGAGTAGTGGAAAATAGAATTAATTATTTTCTTTTGCAAGGAATGTGTTAAATATTCGTCAGTTTGTTCTGATTGGACCTTGTATTAATGTACTTGTGTCAATATGATAGTTTGAAATCAAAATAACCAGATGGTGCATAATGTGTAAAAATCTGGCAAATAAGAAATGCATTAATATTTTCTGGTACCGGTACTAGTTTTAATACTGTAAAATAACAGTATCAGTTACTTTGTTTAATATTTAACTACACAGCTTCCTTTATGTCATACAGTTCCTGTGATCCAAGCAAGGTTCTGTTTGGGAGGATTCAGATTCTGCACAAGTATTAACAATGAGAAATTAGGAAAACCAGCATAGGAAACTAGGTTAAGAATGACTTCATAGTTTATGTAGGATTTATCATTAAAAGTTATTAATTTCTTATTGCTTGTTATAAAAAAGTACATAAAGTTTGGATTTTTAATTTTATTAAATGCAGCTTTCTGTTCTGTATTAAGATTAGCAATTTAAACGGACTCAGGGAAAAGCAAGTGAATGTTTGAAGAAAAAAAAAACTCAGCATTGCACAATAATGAAACAGAAATGATCTCCATAATGTAGATTCATGTCCAAAAGTGAATGATCCATTTGTTTTGTAAGTTGAATATATAGCATATCTTTTATGTTACACCAAATCAATATTACACTATATATATCATGTCTGCATCAAATGTATGACTGACAACAAATTAAGTATTTTGAATAAAACCGTTAATAATATGAGATGATGATGATAAGAAAGCTGTGTTTAATGCAGTGTTTTAGATATTGGTATTGTTCTATTTTCAGCTAAGTCCCTTGGCAGCTGGTAACTTTATAACACTGTAATGATAAACCTGTGTGTCTAAGCAGCGCAGAACTGTTCTGGGGCAGTTTCAATCTAGAATTCTCCACTGCCAGAGGAGTCCAAATTTAACCTATTTATTCTTTTTTTCTTCCTTTGATGTGCAGTGGTGCGTCCAGTGGGACTGTAATCCCCCTGGTCAGTAATCCTCTTTAGTTTGCTTGGTAGTCAACCACTAGGCCTGCCCTGCTGGTTCTGCCAGGCCATCACACCCTACAAAGTCGTGATAGTTCTGTCCACTTACCGCCTCTGGGCTCTATTTTCCATCTGCGCAAAGCGCAACGTAAAGTGGTTTTGCCAGTTTCATATAAGCACATCGCTCGTTTTCATGCCATGGGCGCACGCCTTGAAAATAGTAAATGATTTTGCGCCCCTTTCCACTCATAGGAGTGTGTTTTTTAAATGAGATGTGGCTGGGTCAGCATGTTGCCATTTTAAGGCAGGGTAATGTCATTACGCTTTTGACCAACACAACCCACGTCAAAAGTCATTGTTAAACAGCGTCTTTTTGAAATGTGCGGACGCACGACGTTCGTTATTGACGCAGATACGCACTTCAAGTGCACTAATGGTTTCTTATTTCATTTATAGACGTTTTTATAGAGTACACCTGGTCATTTCACACAATCTTACTGTTTAATGAAACACCAAAAGAAAAACTATATATATTACGTAAAGAACAAACCGTATCGTTTAAAAACCATTAGAGTCTATTAGAATTAAGCACGTACTGTCATTGAAAGGACATTTGGATTACCAAAAATGTGCTTTAGATATTTAGATAAGTCAGGTGGAACACTACAATACAGCCCTTAGAAGGTCGCGGCATTCTTGGTGGCATGGTGTATATTTATAGCCTGGTAAGAAATATAAATTGTAAGAACAGAAAAACAACAGCCCTGTTGCCTATATTTTTGGACATTTTAAAACATCTTAAAAACTGTAGGTTGTTTTGTTTGAACAAAGATCGTACTTTTATTTATATTTTGCAAACTCCAAACTCAGAATTCAAATAAACACAAGCATAATTAAGTCCCCGTTCCCAGCCACTGCTCTCGTTCAGCAACGAGCTTCCCCATCTTCAGACATCGTTATACCGCTCTCAGCACTGCGTGGATGATCTGGTGGTGCCAGAAAGTGAGAACACACTCGCTTCTACTCATCTCATGCCTGCTTCTTTTGGAAGAAAGAACAGTGACGCTCCCGTAGAAGACGTGCTCACGTCTTTTCACCGCATGCGAGATCGCGCAACTGTAATAGCAATCCGTAGTAGATCATGCACTGCCGCCTTTTAAAGTTGAGGTGACGCGCGATTTCTATTGGTTCATTGCATGATATGCCCAAAACGCCTCTGAATAATTAAGAGTCAGGGCAAACATGTTCCACCTTGTGCAGATGCAAAGTCTGTTCTTTTCACCTTCAAAAAGCAAAATTGATTTGCGTTAGTTGCACTTTGCGCTTTGCGTTAGATCATCAAACTAGAGCCCTCTGTGTTCTGGACGTTGCTAATTCATAACTGCGGCACTTATTTTTAGCACTTAAGCTCAGAAGGCAAATTCCAGCTTTGAGCTTGATAAGTTTTTTGTTTTGTTTTTTTTAATATGGGAAGTCATCTGAGAATCTTAAAATGCATAAAACATGTACTGATATAATTAATTATAACAATTATGCATATTTAATTTCAGTTTCTCCAAGTTATTCCATCTGACATATTTAATTTTAAGCAAAGATTAAAACAAAGTAGACTTATTATTAGTAATACAGCAGATATTTACCCAAATATGCTCTTGTAATTATCTGTCTCCTTGGCAGATGGAGAGTATGTGGTTCTACACAAAGCCAAGATGTCACCAGCATAGCTATTCATTCCTTATCAACAACAGCCAAGTGCCGTGTTTCACAGGTCTAGGATCAGCACTGTCCTTATATATCTGACAGTGCTTTTATTGGGCATAAAACCAAAAAGTTAAAAGGCAAACCTGCACCACTGTAAATACAAGGTTGGTCGAAGCAAATATGGAGAAATTGCATGAGCTAAATTTCTTTCAGGAGATTAATTGTATAATTGTTTAAAACATCACATTTGACTGTCTTGTGCTTTCGTCTTGAGCCTTTTTGCCTTTACAGCCACAGTAAACACTGCTGGATCTTCCGGTCTTCCAGGCACCTGTCCATGGGATGATTCAACAGTGTGAATGTACTTCAAACCAGGAATTACTCAGTTGTGATGACAAAATTTTGCATGCCTGACATGCATGGTAGCACATATTGCAACGATTGCAATTGAAAGTAAATTTTCAAAATCCTCAAGTATTTTAAATGCTGCCTTTTGGTTATTTTAGCTGTTTTCTGTATTATCACCTTTTTATATATATTTTTTTCTGTAAAATAAGCTTATGATTCTGGTACGCTGTAGCTGCCTTCTGAAACATACTGTAATATGCTTACATATGGCATTCATTGTTGTCAAAAGCATAGTGTTTGCCAACTAGCTTTACATTGTATTTTGAATGTTACTATACACTGAAATGATTAAATTCTGTTACACAAGGGAGTTGAATCCTGTTTTTATTTTCTTGACCTAGGTATTTAAGATGAATTAATCATTTACAAAGCCCATGTTGGTAGCCTCTGGAATTATTTTCAGGTTCTGTGCTGTCTCTGGAATTATTTTTAGACTGTAGTCAGAAAGTATGCCGTGTCATATTACATCAACAGCTAAGCTTAATCTAATCTTAGTTTACCTTGTTTCTCGTAGGAAGTTGCACGTTTAACCCATGACTCTTCTCAGGATGAGCAAAGTTTGTCTGAAATGCAATAAAATGTGTGTGATGGAGATTAGGCGTTCCAAAAGGCCTCAGCTAAACTTTTTTTGCCTTACTTAATTTAATCAAAATTTTAGGTGATAAAATACAACATTATTTGATATACAGTAGGGCTTGCATTTATTTAGCAGATGTATCATCATTGGGCTCTTGATCCAAGCCCTTAAATAAAGGTCAACTTATGAGCATTAAAAAGTGAAATTCCTGAATGATTGTGCATTGAACAGTGTGTAATAAGGTACTGTAAGCAATACAAACAGTACTAAGTAGATAAAATAATGAGTTATAAATTAAAGCAATGATTTCTTAACCTGTCAGGAGTTATAGGCATGAATGTATTACTGTGCAATTACCCACCTGTAGAAAATATGTTCCTGCAGTGGAGATCCATACATTCTGTCATTGAGTAGCGCCAAGCTACTTGGGAAGAGACTGAAAACAGATGGTCCCATTGTTCTGTGTAAGATAGGCATAGTACACATGTGAGACTTGATTTGCAAGATATGTTAAAACTGTTTCAGATATATTCTGAAAGCTGTAGTCGATCAATATTTTGAGAGGAGACCAGTATTTTAAGAGGCGCATAACTTTCTATAGGGTCCATAACAATCTGTGTGGAAAATCAACCGATTTTTAAATACGTCAAACTTTGGTTTACGTGTTCTGTATTTTAATTAACTTGAAATTTTACAAAGTACAATACACTACAATACATGTTTCAGATTCGCTATAATAATTTTCTATTGAGAAACATGAACTAGTTCCTCCAGCTAAACACAAATAAGAAGATAATGAATGAGAATAACCTAAAGCAGTGTTCTGTCACCCAGTCCTCAGAAACTCTCAGACAGCTAACATCTTTGCTCCCTACAGCTCTCAGCACAGCTGAGCCAAGAGCACCAAATATATGGCTCAGATGTGGTGAGAGCTGGAGGGAGCAAACATATGCATGGGAATGCTGGGGTCCCCCAGGACTAGGTTAAGGAACTGTGGCCTGAAGTAAATACAAAGAACCATTGCAGCCCTATGCTTGGGAGATCAAGAAGGTGGATTCTCTGCAGGCGATGTTCTCTTTGGATTGCAACACAGGAAAGGCAGTGAAAATAGAAGGCGCAATGTTTCCAAAACCATGAAGAAGTTTAGGGGAGATTCATTAAAATGGGAAATTGATGAAAGGAGAAATCATGTGTTTGTGAATCACAACTCCATCATGATGGATTAGCCAAACCAAAACCTCAACTATATAGTTATCTATTGTCTATGCGTTTAAACGTTTATTTAACTAAAAACACACTAATTTGGCAGTTTACTCCATATTCAGCTAAAGTAATGCTTTGTGTATCCTTCTTCCTTGATGGAAATCACTTAAAGAAACATATTCCATTTGGCCATTGTTCCTTTGGATTTAGGTAGGTTTCCTTACCCTAAAATGACTGGTGAATTTCCAAAAAAAATAATGGACTCGTAAGACACCTGGGGGTTGGTTAATTGGTGCATTTTTGCATAACCACTGCTCTTTATGGCCATTAAACCCTCAAAAATGTGCCAGGCTTCCCAGATAAATGGCCTAATTGTATACTCAGTACCCAATCATCTCTCTCACCTGTATGTGCACGTGTTCCAAGATTGGAAGTTATGCACATAGCAAAAACTAAAGAATTCATAGGTATTTGTTCATATTTAATTTCATCAGAGAGCAGGATTAGCTAGTCCCTGGAGCGGTGTGGGTTAAGGGCCTTGCTTACAGGCCCAACAGTGATATCACTCTGCCAGGCACAGGATTTGAAGCAGTGACCCTCCAATAATGAGCACATATCACCCTATGGTGAATGAATATGTTGGTCATAACAGGGACCTTTAATTCCGTGTGAGGTTTTCTTTTCCAGTTTCTTCTATATTCTTCACCTCATAAAAGTGTTATCGTGTTCTGATTGGGGATGTTTCTGCCGTGAAAATGTTGATTAATATTTTATTAGATATAGCTCAATGTAATTTTTTCTGGTCCGATCCTCATATTAAAATTTTGAGTATCTACTGATATCAATACCAGCCCAATATTTTTCCCTCTTTCAGCTACTAAGCATTAAATTAGATATTTCTATCAATTCATTTCAATTAACATGGCAAACTTTCTGCATTTAGTGTGGTAGCAGCATTCTTTTCTAGTTTGCTAAGAATAGGGAAATATAATGGTCATGTTGCTCAAAATATGCTATGCCACTGTGCTACAGGAAGAAATCCACAGTCAGCACGATTTACACAAATCTGCTTTATTGTTTAAGTAACAACTTTCACAAAAATCCATCCATCCATCATCCACCACTTGTCCGAGGTTGGGTCACGGGGGCAGCAGTCTAAGCAGGGCAACCCAG